TAACTCCTATCTCGCCTCCTATGTCAACTGTGAATTAATTCTACACTAATTAATCATGGTAATTTCACATGATTGTTATCATTGCCATCATTATTGTTATTCCCATTGCACTTTCTTGAGCAAACTCCAATTTGCTTACACTGGGCTTACGTTGTCTGTTTGGGCTTATGTTGACATCTGCTGCAAGGCCTGCCTCCCAGTAGAGTGAATCCAGGCACAGTACTTCATTCATTCTCCAATTAGTGAGCACTTTCCCTCTGCAGGCATGGTGCTGGGCACAGGAGACGCAGGGACAAGTAAGACATGCCCTGTCCTGACAATGGTCCTGGTGGAAGGACAACAGAAAAGAACCACTGCATGCTGCTCATTTACCCCACGTGTGCCACCTCAGGACCCACACCTCCCTCCTAGATCAGTGCTTAGCTGAGGAGCACAGTGGAGCTGAGCCCTGCTCCACCCCAGTGCTGGCTTCCTCAGCTGAGGAGTGGAAAGTGCTCCTGACCAGTCTTCGGATCTCCTAGGTTACATTGTTAGTGCAAACACTTGCTCTTCACTTTAAGACATGGTTTTAAGTCTTCTCCTTGGACAGGCAGGATCACCCCCAGTCTGGGTAGGGGACTGGTGCTGTTTGAACAAGAGTAGGTGACATTTTGTATTTCAGGGGGAAACTCCTTGTTTCCATATACCAACTTTAGGAAGTCAGGCTCAGTAAAGTCTTCTTAGCTATCATAGAGTGATTCTCAAGTGGACTCAACTTTTGTGTAGGGAAGTATATCAGAATTTCTAGGAGCATTGGATTTCCATGTTTATTCTAAGGGCATAAATGGGAAACAAAGTTTAAAAAAAATCCTGGACTAGACCAAAAAGGAAAGAGGAAGGCAGGGAGTCAAACACAGCTGCCAATCAGAGTGTACATTGGGTGATGGCCTAGGGAAAAATTACCTTGTCCTGTAGCATTCACTATCATTCGTGCATTGTTATTTTTTATAGCCTATCATGATTTTCTTCTATGTTCTGGACATAGTACTAATGTGTTTATCAACTTCGTTGGGGTATAATTTATTTACAACAAACCAACCATTTAAAATGTATGATTTGTTTATGAAACTACTGCCACCACAGTAAAGATGTAGAATATTCCCATTATCCTCAAAAGATTGTTCCTTTTTATTTAACAAATGTTTGTTAAGCTGCTCATATGCCAGACACAACTCTAAGTACCTTAAAAAGATTATGTAGCCCATTTAATCTTTATAACAAGCTGATGAGGTAGGCACTGTTGTCACCAGTTTATAGAGGAAGAAACAGGCCCAGAGAGGTTAAGTGAAGTGCCCAAGTTTACACAGCTGGGGAGTGGTGGAGCCAGATTACAACTCTGACCCGCTTCCGGATCCTGTGTTCTTCGCCTAAAGGTTGTTCTGCCTCTCATTCATTCATTCATTCATTCATTCAAGAATTGCCTAACTTAAGGTAGGTGCTGAGAGTACAGAGATCCATCTCGTGACCCCAAGAAGCCCACAGACGAGGGGAGGAATTGAACACTTGTATAAAGAACTCTAGATTGACTTATCGTGGTTGTGGGAATAGCTACAGGGATACACAGGGAAAGACGGATGTCCTGCTTCCTCTGGCCCTGTGGAGTGAGGCTAGCCAGGCTCCACTGAGTTCTCAATGACTCAGGAGCGGGGACACACAGGCAGCTGAGCCTGTTAGGCAAATGCCCATTATGGATGTCCTGGGAATCATGCGAACTCTTACATACATGCGCTTACCTTATCCTCACAACTCGATGAGGTGGGTACTGGCATGATCCGTGTATTACAGGTGAAAACGGGATTTAAGAGGTCAAGCGAATTGCCTCAGGCAACCCAAGAGGTAAGGGGCAATCCAGACGTGACACTTAACTCCTCTCAGCTGCCACGACCAACTCCTTCTCCTGAAAGGCAAGGGTCAGACTAAGTCTGTCTGTGACAAAGCATAAAGGAAAAGCCATTTTTTATTAACAATGTTTATGGGAAGATGCCACTTTTGTGTATTTCTCTGTCAAGCAATGCCATTTGGAAAGCATTGTGCATGTCAGTATTTTTTTTTTCTTCTTTCTGAAAAAAAAAGCCTATAGAGTCTGGTGAGGGGAGGGTTTGCAGCTGGCAGGAGCCTTGGCATATGTTGTAACTAAAAAGAGAGGGAATGTGTTGGTGGGACAAGCTACCGGAGAGCCGTCTCGGTGTGCTGCGGTACTAGTAAGTGTTTTAATTGGGTAGAGTTTTTGGAGGACTATTTTGACATCTGCTCGTGTCTTTGCTGATTTTTCTCCACTTAGAGTAGGAAACACAAGCTGTGGATGAAATGACTTTAAAATAATTGGAAGTAAAGCTATCTTTTTCAAAGTTCAGTTTGAGAGGGACACTTTTTTTTTAAGAAGTAGAAAGTAAATTCCACTTCTAGGAATCCATCCTAAAGCACAAGGCTTTGTGCCTACAGATTTCACGACAGTATTACATATAATAATGTCTTAACAACTGGATATAATCACCAACAAAGAGTCTTGGATGGGTTTGTTTCCATGAAGTGAAACATTTTGTAACAATTAGTAATGATCTTTACAAAGGTTTTAATGAAGTGGAGCATTGGTTATATGGTAATAAATGAGAGAGTCAGAAAGAAACATTAAGAATTGTTTCTACTGTGTTTTTTAAAAGTAGGGATTGGGGCAGAGGAATGTGGAAAGAAATACAGAAATGTTACTTCCTAACCATCATTTTCTTCTTTGAACTTCTGTGTCTTTCCCAGTTTTGTAGAATAGGCCTCTGTAAGATTTATGACACAAAAGGCAAGAGAACGCAGGTCCTGAGCCGGTTGACATAACGGCACGCCCAGCCTGGTTCTTGTTCTGGGCCGTCTTTACAGAGTCAGGCTTTTGAGTCAGACCCAGAGCAAACGCCAGCTCCACCGCTCACCAGCTGTATGACTTGGGCAGTTGGTTTGACCTCCTTGAGCCCTGTTTCCTTCTCGTTACCATGGTTTCTCCCTCATAACATGGACAGGATTAAACCACCCGGCACCCTGTAAGCATCCAACTTCTCCACAGCACCTCCCTCTCCCACCCGCAGTGTGAGGTGTTTTGTGGGGTTTGTGCCTTTTCCATTCCCCTTGTTCCATGAGCCTTTCACGGATAAGGCACCACCAGCCAAGCTGGCCTCCGATTCTTTCCTTGGGACCCTGAGCTTCAGGAAGGCCCCGAGTCCAATGCCAACAGCCCCTTGGGAAATGGCCTTGCCACTGGGAAGGCAGCACTGTCCTACAAGAGGAAACCATGCCACCCAGCTCCTGCCTGGAGCCTGGTGCTTGGGCATTTTGGTTTCTAAGGGGACCCTGGCCTGCTCAGTCTGAAAAGGGGCCAGGTTGTTTCCTCTTCTCCAGCTTGCTGCCATTGTTGAAAAAGTAAACACTCCACATGGCTTAACCAGCAAGTCCTCCAGGCAGGAGTGGGAAGTAATCAAAAGCCTGTTCCAGCCCAGCCATGGAGAGCCACAAGGGCTGGTCTGTGCTGCTGGGGCCCCGCAGGAACACAGAAGGTGCCAGAGCTGCTCCACGCCAGCATCCGCTCACTGCCTTCAGCCCCTGCAGCCTCCGCTGGTGGCCAGGCCCACCCCTTGGATTTGGAACTCTGGGAGATCAGAAGAGAAGAAAGGTAGGTAGGTAGATAGGTACATAGATACATAGATGGGTGATTTAGGGTGCAGCGGCCCTCAGCTCAGTTGTCAAAGCCTCCCCAGCTGAGCTACGGCTCAGCTCCCTGTGGCCCCTTTCCTGATTCTGTTTCTGGTGCCAGCGTCTTTGAAGTGAGAGCCCAGCAATGTCCAAGAAAGGACAGAGGACTTTTGCGCTAAAGCCACTGGCTCTACAGCTTTCAGACTAATCAGGGCTGACGTATGTATTATAAAAGCAATAATAATAGCTACTATTTAGAAGTCCTACTGTGTGCCCAGCAGCCCCAGGGGGAGAAGTGGGATAAGGAGCGCAGTCACAGTTATCCTCTCAGTTTTACAAAAAGAAGAAGCCCCAGAGTAGCCACATGGCCTTGGGGAAGGCCACCTCACCTCTCTGAGCCTCATTTTCTCACCTCTGAAGTGGGGATGGTGATACCTCCCCTGCAGCTACGTTGCTGAAAATGAAAGAATCTTTGTGAAAATGCTGTGTGAGCTCTGAAGTGTAGGTGAGTGAAAAAGGTTGCCTTTGAGGCTGTTTTTGTAACTTCCCGCCAGCACACTGCTATGTGTTTAACCTGTCAGATTGCAAAGGGAGGCAGCAAAGGAGCCATAGGCAATCCATCAGGAGTCTTGGTGTTCTCATCTGTAAAATGGGGACTGTGCTTTGTGGAACTGGTGATGTGTGCTGAATCAATGCTGTTTGCTAATAGCACTTACCTTGTAAGTAAGGCGATCAGTTCATATGAGTCCTGGGGTTTGGGGAGAGAATAAATTTCTAAGGAGCCGATTTTGTCCCTCCTCTGTAGGTATCAGCCCGTAGTAAGCCTTTTGTAAAGTTTATGAATTGATTGGTAGGTTTTTGGCCGAGGCCCCACGGCCTGGGGAAGTTGGTAGCAGAGGTTTGAGGCTCCTGGTCTTATTAAAGGGAAGGGTTCCAGGATTCTGCCCTCTGGGAGTGTTATTTCAACTCCAGGAAGTTTCAGACCAGCGAGGCTCCACCCTCCTGCTGGGAGGAATCTGGAAATGTTTACTTAGGTACCAAGTTCTGTCCTAGAGGCTGGGGTTTGAGACAAGGAACTAGACCAGTGTTAATGAGCACTTACCAAACCGTTTTTGTTGGTGCTGGTTATTATGCTGCGGGAGCCAAACAGCTGAGGCCCTGCGGGAGCCCACACCCCAAAGTGTCAAGTGTCACTTTGTTTCCTACTCCCCTTCCCCAGAGAAGGCCAGGGAAGATGTGTGTCCTCATGGTGCTTCGGTGATGTCTGTTTTGGAATTTTTTATTTGCAGAAAGTTCAAAACATGGCCCTGGATGATGTCGTGATCCTAAACGTGGACACCAACACCCTGGAAACCCCCTTCGACGACCTGCAGAGCCTCCCGAATGACGTGGTGGGTAACAAGCCCTTGGGGTCTGACCCCGTGGGTGGCTGTGCATGTGACACATTTGTGGGGAAGGGAAGGGGGGTGAGAGGGGGCACCTGTGGCTTGCCTGTGGCCTAAGGATTGCACTGCAGTTCTCTGTTCTCTCTGGAAGCTTTGTCTCAGTTCAGTGAAGGAAGTTGGGAGGGGTTCATTTGCTACACCTTTGCTCGCAGCTTACCGTGATTTTGAGGGAATCATTGTGTCCTGTGAAAATGTCCCATCTGTAGCATAAACAATGGCTTCCATTCACTGACTTCCTGCCCCTCTAAGCCTCTTCTCCATCCCTCCTGACCGCCACTTGATCCAACTGTTACCAGCAGCCTCTCTACTGGTTCTCAGAACTCCAGACCTTCTTTTGCGTGACCTTTTGAAACATCAATTTAACTGTATTTCCCTAATTTAGTTATATTTAGTTATAGTTACGTTTAACTAAATCTAGCTATACTTAAAACCATTTCATAATTTTTTAAATTTTTTCTAAAGACAAAAAAATCCTTTCATAACTTCCCTGCACCTATAGATTAGAGTCATGTTTCTTATATTGGCTTTGGAATCAGACCTGTAGTTAGGTGCTGGCTTCTTCACTTACTAGCCATGTGATCTTGGGCAAAATTGCTTAAGCTCTGTGAACCTTAGCTTCCTTATAACGTTATTGTGAGAATTAAATGTATATAGTATCTGTAGACCATATCCTAAGAGCTCTATAGACTGTGATTGATATTAATGAATTACGGATGCAAATGATGACTATCACTCAAGGCCCTCCTTCATGATGAGACCCTTCTGTTTTCCCCGGGCTTTAGCTCTCTCCTCACTGCTTCAGATCCTGTGTTAGGCTGTTTGGAACTGTTAGTGTTTCTTCCAAGCTTACCTATTGCTTTATAACTTCATACTTTGCATACAGAGTTTCTTTTTTTCCCAAATGTCCCGCCCCAACTGTCAATCTTTAAGACTCATTCTCTCATTCTTTAAGATGTAACTCTAAAGATTAGGCTGTAAAAATTTTCCCTGATCTCTCCAAGTAGAATTGACTGTGTCTTTCCCTCTGTCCCCAAAGCTCTTTATTCTGCTTGTATAATTAGACTTATCTCCCTGCAAGGTAATTTATTACACATTCTGGCTTTCCCTTTTAATTGTGAGTTCTTTGAGGGCAGGAATCAAGTTTTATTCATCTATGTTTCCCAGGGATCTAGCAGCTACTGAATAGATAGATGGAAGGATGGAGGGGACATATGGATTGGGTTATTTTGGTAGATGAAATCTTGCAAAACATGGCATTTGTGCTGGAAATTTTATTAAAGAGGCCTTTGTTCTGCTTCTAGCCATGATGGAGTAATTGGAACTAGATTTTTGCCCCTGCCATTAATGACTAAAACTCAGGACAAATATGAAAACAACTGTTTTCACATACTGGACAAAAGTAGTACAGGAGTATGATCCCTGAGAGAAAGGAAACAAGTAAGATGAGTTCTGTGGTCCCCCTGGCTTTCTGCCTGGAGGCATTTTCTGGACCCTGGGCCAGGAGCAGGGGTCCACAGGCAAGCACAACAGTCTTGCTGAGTTGAGGGGTTACAGATCTGAATTTGAGGAAGAGGTGGTTTCAATTTGTGGGCCAGATATTCAGACAGAAGGGAGCTAGCTGCTCAGCAAAAGAGCTTCAGACATCTGAATTGGGTCCTCTTGACTAATCTGCCTACCTATAGAGGGAGCTCACACAGACTGGGAATCATTCAAGCTCTGTCCCGCCAGAAAAGGAAGATGTTGATGATCACTCAGGACATTCATCAGAGACCCTAGAGGCAAAGCCTTGATAGGATCTAAATTAGTATCTAGAGCAAAAATAGCCCTTCCTTAACAAAGCTTAAAAGTCAGGCCTTGAGGACAGTGAGAGAGGGTTGCAGGGATGCTGGTGATGTGCTGATTCTTGATCTTAGTGCCAGTCCCAATCCCCAAGCGATCCTCAAGCAAAACACCAATGATATTTGTACTTTTACGTTTGTGTGTTAAACTTAAATAAAAAGTTTTAAACAAAACTATTTCCATTAAAAAAATAAAAAGCCTTAAAAGGATCAACCTTATATGCAAGAAATTCAACCGCCTGTCAAAATAAACTTCAACCCTCTTTAAAAGAAGACAACAAAATCTAACACTCAACAATATAGCATTCACAGTAACTAGCAGCCTGTCAAAAAAAAGTACCAGACGATGACAATCAGGAAAATGTAACCCATAACCAAGAGGAAAATTCATCAATAGAAACAAATTCGGAAATGACAGACACGATGGAATTAGCAGACAATGACCTTAAGATAGATATTATAAAGATTAAAAATATACTCATAAATTTAAAGGAAGACCTGGATTTAATGAGAGAAACAGAAGATATCAAAACATCTATAGGTGAAAAATATAATACCTGGACTAAAAATTTCACTGATAGAATTAAGAGGATATTAGACACCACATCTTAAAAGATCAATGAACTCAAAGACATACCAGTAAAAACTATCCACTATGAAGCAGAGAAAGGAAAAACACTGGAAAAGGTTAACAGGCCCTTCAGGACCCATAGCCCAATATCAGGAGGACTAACATACATGTAATTTGAGCCGTAAAATGAGAGGAAGATAAGGAAAGACAGAAGAAATATTTAAAGAGATTGTAGCCAATTTTTTTCAGTTGTGATGAAAATGATTAATGCAGAGTTCTAAGAAGCACACTGTACCTCAAGCTTAATGGATCCAAACAAAACCACACCAAGGGTAGGTCCTGAAATTACTCAATACCAGTGGTAAAAACAAAAGTTTAAAATTAGCTAGAGAGAAAAAAAAAAAAAAAGACACAAATGAAAGAAGTAATGGCAGAAGACTTGTAAAAAAAACTACACAGCCAAAAGTTAATGGATTGACATTTTTAAAGTAATAAAGGAAATTTTTGTCAAACTAGAATAGTATATCTAGTGAAAATATCCTTCACAAATGAAGACACAGTTAAGTCTTTTTCAGAAAAACAAAAGGGGAGAGAAATCATTGTCAGCACACCTGCACTACAAGAAATGTTAAAGGAAGTTCTTTAGATGGAATAAAAAGGGTACCCTAGAGAATAGTAAGGGGTGAAGAATGCCAGAAATAGTAAATATATGGGTGAATATAAGACTTCTTTTCTCATTTTTAATTTATACAAAAGGTAATTGAGTAAAGTAGAAATCATCCCCATGTTCATAGCAGCACAACTTACAATAACTAAGATCTGGAAACAGCCCAAGTGCCCATTGGTAGATGAGTGTGTAAAAAAGATACAGGTAGCCGAAACTGGTTTGGCTCAGTGGTAGAGCATCAGTCTGCGGACTGAAAGGTCCCGGGTTCAATTCCGGTCAAGGGCGTGTACCTTGGTTGTGGGCACATCCCTGCTAGGGGGTTTACAAGAGGCAGCTGGTCGATGTTTCTCTCTCATCAACGTTTCTAGCTCTCTCTCTCTCTCCTTTCCTCTCTGTAAAATATCAATAAAATATATTTTTTTTAAAAAGATACATGTATACCATGGAATACTATGCAACAGTAAAAAAGAAGGTTGTCTTACTCTTTGAGACAGCATGGAGGGACCTGGAGAGTATTATGCAAGTGAAGTAAGTCAGAGAAAGATAAGTATCACATGATCTCATTCATAAGACTTAAAGCAGAGAGGCATGGAACAGACTGTCAAATCTCAGAGGGAAGGTGGGAGTGAATGGTGGATGGGAAGAGATCAACCAAAGAACTATATGTGCATAACCCATGGAAACAGATAATAGGGTGGTGGAGGCCTGGGATAGGCTTAAAAGGGTCATTGGAAAAATCAAGGGGACATATGTAATATTTCAACAATAGAGATTTAAAAAAATAAAGTAGAAATCACCAATGTGTTGTGTGTAATAACATAGAAGTAAAATATTATAGTATATGACTGTGGTAGCACAAGGGACAGGACAAGGGTAGAGAATGTAGGTTTGTGTTTTAAGGTTCTTAAATTATATGTATATTGTAAACTTTAAAGAAGCCACTAAGGAAAATAAATAAGATAAAGATATCTGCCTAATAAGCCAATATTGAACACCCAAAAGATTTTTTAGGGAAAGGATAAAGGGATCAATATAGATAGAACAAATAGAACAGTTAGCAAGATGATAGATTTACCCAACTATATTGATTATTATATTTAATGTGCATCATCTAAATATTCCAATTAGAGGAGATTAACAAATTATATTTTAAAATAAGACCTAGTTATATGTTGTCTACATGAATTCCACCATAAATATAAAGAATCAGAGAAATGAAAAGTAAAAGGCTGGAAAAGATATAATGCAGACACAAATCAAAAGATAGCAGATAGAGGATAAGAGGCAAATCTTCCTTATTGAAGAATTCCAAGTAGTATCTGTAAATATTCTCCTCCCTAGGAAAGGAGCTTAATACTCCCACCACAAACATCCACACATATGAGTGGGGGCTGGACTTAGTGACTCACTTTCAAAAAAAAAATAGAGTATGTAAAGGGAAAAGGAGTAATGTTAATGTAGAAATAGCAAGTAGTACTCCTTTAATCCAATGATTGGGGTTTATATCACCACTGATGTCATGTGAATATCATCTAACCCAGATATAATGTCATGAGAGGGGTCCATCACTTCTCTGCTATTCTTTCCAAAATCCCAGTCAAGTCATGGCAGAAACTAGGGGTATTCTATATAATGCCTAATTAGTACATCTTGAAACTGTCAAGTTCATAAAAATATGGGAAAGACTGAGGAACTGTCATTAGACCAAAGGATACTAAGAAGACATGACAACTGAATGCTCAGTGAGATCCTGAAATAAGAAAACAACAAAATTAAAATGGGAAAACTCGTGAAATCACAATAAATTTTGGTACATTAATAATAATGTACCCGTGTTGGCTTTTTAGTTTTGACAAATGTTTTATATAAA